CGAATGGGTTGGCGACGTCGTTGACTTGCAAACGGCGAGGGATGAGCGAGGAGGAGATGCAAGAGGCTTACCGGAAATTCGCCAGACTGCAAGGAGTGCTGCTCACTCCCAAACACGTGGCAGACGCCGTCTTGTTTCTCGTTTCTGATGATTCTGCCTTTGTCACTGGCCTTGATCTTAGGGTCGAATGGGACAAACCCGGGACAGCCCCCTTGAAGAGGAAATCCGAGGTTAGGGTTCTGAGGATGTCCAAAGGTGTGACCCCATCCACGGTTCTCACATTGGTCCAGCAGCACCGCCACCATGTCCGGCGACACCATCTCCGCCGCAATGTGGAGCGGCGTCTTCCTGGCGGGGCCAGAGGGGTAGTTCACGTTATATATATATATCAATATTATTATTTTAGTTGCCATCTTTTCAAGTTTTAGACTAATATAATTGTAAATTTGTAATTTTTAAATTTAAGAGACTAGCATGTTAGTACATTACAAATTTGAAGACCAAAATATTTGTTTTATTTTTGTAAAGATAGAAAAAATTACAAAGATGATCACAATGAGAATTAAACCTAGATTCTCATGTTTCTGATTACCTCAACTTTTTTTTCACCTAATCATTAGACTAATCATAATAGTTAAACTAAAATATCTGTTTACTTAATAGTTTATAAAAAAAATCCTTAAAAATGAAATTAAAATTAGAATAAAAGTAGATTTAAAAAGTAATAATTAGAATGTGGTTATAGTTTTTAAAAATTTTAAAAGTAAAAATAAAAAATAAAAAATTAGAGGTACTAAAGTAGCCAAACTCGACAAGCTACTCGATGGCCTGCGGGGGAAACTCCAAAAAAGCGACACAAAAGATACGTAGATAAAGTCAAACCATTAATTTTCAAGTTTGAAATCTATCAAACATATTTGACTTAATATTTTTTTAAAGTAAAAATATAATTAAAAGACTAGGATTGTATGTTTGGAAAATAGCATAGATTTTTATTTTTTTAAAAAATAAGTTATTTTAATACATTTGAAAATTTAAAACTTAAAATTATTTTTTAACAATTTCTTTTACTTAAAGTTGATTTACAATTTAAAAACAGATTTTTGTTGTTAATTTATACAAAATTATATATTTTAAAGTTATTTTTTTAAAATATTCAAAAAAAAATATATATATATATACCTTTATTATAATCATCTACAATTCTACAACTATAATGGATTTTAATTGATTATCAATATAATTTAATTTTAATCGAAATATGAAGAGTACCTGAATAATATAATTCGGGGTACACTGGAGTGGACTATTTATTGGGCCTCTTTGTAAAGCTTAGTTTGATGGGTTGTCCAAATGCCAATAGTCAGTGATGTTCTGTAACTCTAACAGTCTAACGTTTTTAATGATGTTTGGTCTGTCTGTCTGTAACACAAGATGTTTTATTTTCATAGCATTCTTCATTTAAAATATTTATGGCAAAAAAATTACAATATTTTAAATTTAATATTTTCCATTCTTGTATCACTGTTATTAAAAACTCATTGATGATATTTATTGGATTTTAATTTTATCTAGCGTATACATCTTAAATCATGAATAAGTTATAAATGTCATTTATTGGACTATGTTTCATCTACTAATTAAGTTGAGATCGTGCATACCTAAATTGAGAGTAAAAAAACTAAAAGAACAATTTTTCCAACATGTGTAATATTGCATAAGTTATAAAATAGTATTAAATATGCAAACTTATTATTATTTTTACACCAATATATACAATCACTTAAAAAGTAAATATTAATTATTTTTATTTTTAATATACTAAATATATTTTAATAAAAGCTTTCCACTTTGGTTTTGTTCATAAATTAAGTATCTCAATAACTAATTAAAAGAATAAAAAAAAATATTTTTTAATCCATTAAATGACACGATCTTTAAAATAATAATTATAAAATTCAATAAAAATCCATAATTGAATAATAGTCTAAAAAGCATTTACATTAACATTATTAACAATTTTCTTTAGTACAAATCTCAAATATTTTATTTAAAAGACAATTTTGTCTAAATAAGAGAAAGTTATTATTATTAGTATATTATAATAATTAATTTCATTAATTTTTTATTATTATTAAAATACAATTATATTTTAAAAATAACTATTTCTCAAGAATAATCCCAGGCGAATGAGATTTATGATGGAAAAGACAATTTAAATTTATAAAAAAGATTGATAATATATGTGCATGAAAAAAGTAAAGATTAGAAAACCCTAAGAAAAGGAAAAGGAAATTGGGATTAGTAAATTAGATAAAAATGATTTGTTTAATGATAGATGTAGTGTGTTTAGCGCATGCCAGCTCAGTCACAAGTGTTGTGTTCATAAAACTACGGCGCTACGTACAGCTAATACAACACTCGCGAAAATTAAGAATTTTCCCCTTTTTTCGTTCAATTCTCAAATCTCAATTTTCAATTCTCAAACCCAAACTCACTCACACAAACGCTACTTCAATCCATCCTTCAATTCAAATGTGCAATCCCTTGTTCCAGATTCGCTTCCGCTGATGCTGATTTCGAATCCAATCCAAGCCAATCCGATAATGTCTTCGTCCTTCTCTGCCTCTCGCTCGCCGCAGCAGTTAATGTCCATTTCCCGCCTCAGATCCTCCGCCGTCAGGAAGCTGCCGGAACCCTTGCGCCGCGCCGTCGCCGATTGCCTCTCCTCCCCCCTCTCTCCCTCCAACGAACCTTCCAGAACTCTCCAGGTTCTCCTCATTTCGATTCCTCACGCTTTCTCTAAATTATTTTTAAAATTTGCGCGTTAGTTGCCAATTTTTTTATTTAATTATTATTGTTATGGCGTGAAAATAGGAAGTTGTTAATCATTGTGGTTGAGAAAGAAGGTGGGATCGAGTGACCTTAAGCTTCTTTAATGTAATGCAAATCGTGTTACTGAGTTGGGGAAGGGTTAGCTTTGTCATTGTTGTGTGAGTTTAACTTGTGGGAGGGGGCATTACTCCTGTAACACTCTTTTTTCTTACAGGGTATGTTACTTATGTAGCATTTAAGGTTAATGTTTCTGGTATGGTATCCAATGGGTGTGACTCAATTGACAACACATGTTCAACTTGTACTTGAAGGGAAGACTTAGGTTTGATTCCTTAGGAAGGATGAGCATAGCCAGCCAAAAGGCTCGTAGCTCTTGTGGGAATATCTTGAGAGCCAAAGATTCTAATTATGGTGATTACCAAAAAAATAAAAAAATTGAAGTTTATAGTTACATTTAATAGATTTTTTTACATTAATTTAGAATTAATATTTAGTACTAGTGCATTCTTGATATGTCTTCCTGGATTGCCATACCCATCAAGGCACCGAAGAAACTCCCTGTGTGAAGTTCTTGAAGTTAGTTAGCTGCTGCTCATGTCCCTAATTTTGAAGGTTTAGGTTATAAGGGATTCTCGATATAGTTTATGTAGTTAATTGATATATGTGATAATAAAAGTCTCCTTAATTTTGTTGCTTCTAAGTTAATGATTATAAATGACTGAGTAATGCATTTTTTAATGTTTAGGCTATAAGAGATTCCGGATATGGTTTTTGTCGTAGTTCATGTGATACAATTGCTACTTTATCATATGTGGTAATAAAAGTCTCCTGACTCTCCTTGATTTTGTGGCTCGTAAGTTACTGATTATTAATGACCGAGTAACGCTGCGGGTGTGAGAAGTTTTAAAAGTACTGTCTGAATAAATGAGAATTCTTGTCGTTACCTTCAACTCATGATGCAGGCAGTGTATCTTCAGGAAAAAAAGTTTAATATTTATTGCAAATGCCACATTCAATATTTTCTTGCATTTATTGTACCATCTTTACTGAAGAGTGCTAATGTATAACTCATCAGACAAATATGTTGGTTGTCAGTGGTAACTAGTAAGTCAAGTATTTGTACTCAAGCACTAGCTTCCTATTATTGGGATTCCATATTCCATATTTACTGCAAAATAGTTTTTTTAGCTTAAAATATAGCGAGAATTTAATGCCGTGGATAACTGTCATTCTTATTATACTATGACCGAAATCCCATTTGACTGCAAACTGTGGTGCCATTATATTTCACATACAGCAGCCAAAGTCTAAACTTTACCAATTTTCTTTTAAATATATGATTGCAGGACTATCTGAAAGCCCTTGCAACCACAGACTTGGCTTATAATGCAATTCTGGAACATACTATTGCAGAGAGGGAGCGCAGGTAATTGTCACATTTAATTATTGAAATGGAGTTGTTTGTGATGCTATCTGATTTGTTAAAATGATTGCTCTAATACTATTCTTCTATATTCTAAAGACGATATGCACTAAGGGAACTAATTTTGTTGAACTATTGTAATTGGCTTTTAGTAGAATTCTGTTCAGCTGAGCTATTTAGGCCACTGTTTAGTGTTTGTTAGGCTGCTTAAATATTGTTTCTATTTCTTTATTACCTTTTTCCTGCTAGCATTGTCCGGACCATTTCAAATACCAGCAACTTCTAACTTTAACACTATTTTCTGTCAGTCCTGCGGTAGTCACAAGGTGTGTGGCACTGTTGAAGCGGTATCTCCTAAGGTATTTTGCCAACTATTTAAATAAGTAGATACTTGGAAGTTTCCCAGATTTCTATCTTTGAGACATTATCTGTTACTCTAGTCTCTTCCATTCTCATTTGATAAAGTTGCATTTCATGTGACTGCAGTGTTTCCTTATTTCAACACAATAATTTATGTCCACATTTTGCCATCACAACTTTTATCTTAGTCGATAAAATGGAAAAAAGAGGAGAGTGGTGGCAGATATTATCATCAATATTGATATATCTTCTGTTTTGCATGCAGTACTTGGTTGTTGTTAAACTAGATTTTGTGCTGAAATGGAGCTTCTACTCCTAGAGCACTAATTTGTTGGAAGAATATTTTATCTTATATATAGAACAATGGTTTATACTCGGTGTCAATAAAGTCCACCGTTTAAACAAAAATGACGATCATTAGTTGATGATTAAGGGTTACCACAAAAAGTGCTAGAGCATGATGTTATCTTGTTGCTCCATTACATTCTACAGTAAGATGTTCTCATTTTTTGGGGAAAAGGGTTCTTTCAAAATTTACTGCTCTAATATGTATTAGATTCTGATATATTTACACAAATATATGCAATAATGGACATAAAAGAACTTGTAAAAATCAACTAGTGGAGTGATATCATAGATTCTTATGTGTAAAGATTAATACATTTTAGCATATCTATTTCCTAAGACATTGCTGGGTTTTGATTATCTTACTCTCAAAAATAGATTTTCAGCCAGTGTTTCTTTCTTAGACAATTTTGATTATAACCTTTTGTCATACTATTAAAGAAAAATAAGCTAATCCAAAGATGCACTAATTTCTAAAACTCATCTAAACTCTATAATTCAAATAACATGGTAGTTATTAGAGTAATAATAAGATGAATAGTACCATCAAAGAGAAGAAATCTTTTTTTTTTATTTTTTTTTTATTTTTACGAAAAGAGTTCTAATTCTGCAAGGGTAGAACAAATAATATAGCAAGAATGTAAGTGTTCCACCAATATTTCTTCTAAAAGTCTCAGAAAATGCAAAAATTGTATACTATACTCTATATCTTGTGAACTAATAAAGTTATAGAGTACGACCATGATGCCGGCTTTAGTTTTGGAGCAAAATGAAGAGATTAGTAAAGAGATAATATAAACAAGAGGGTAAGACATTCTCCCAGAACAGCCTAAGAAAGTTAAAATAAATATATACACACACACAAAAACAGAAAAAGGACAGCATCAACTCAAAATAGGTTTTCAATACATTTGAGAGATCCTTGGAGAATGCTACAAGCATAAGGATGCCAGAAACCAAATCCTTTTTCACATAAATATAGAAAGGGTTAACTTGCTGCTCAAGTTTTCTGTTGTAATAATATTCTAAGAATGGGCTGTAAATGCAAGCAAATAGAGTACATATCTGCAATATGTTTCCCTTTGCTCTTCCCAGAAGTTTATCCAAGCCTCTAGGCACACCCAATGCTGCCAAATATATCTACAAGTTTGATCTGAAGCTAGCAGACCATTTAGACAAGTGTCAGTGTAGTTGGACCCATTCTTTAGCGATTTTCTGTATTCCAGTGCTAAATTTAGTGAAGTGAAGTGTTATGTTGCATTTCACTCATTATGAAATGTGTTCTAGTGTTTTTGGAGTTTTGAAATGGATTTTGTTTCTACAACCTGTTTTGGCAAAGAAAGTAAAAGCTGAAAAATTTATAAAACAAGACAGAGCTGTCTGTCCTGTATGGGACGGGAGAAATCTTTGACACCTGTTTTGTCATATCTATGCATCAAGGTCAAATAGTATCTCATGTTGAATGTGTCTAAGTTGGCCTTATGGTCCTAAAATCCATTGTTCTCTATATTAATCACTGATTTAGTAACAAAAATTATCTGTTCTCACAGGCAAGAGGAAGAGGTTGATGAGGCCTTTTATGGTTTTGCTAATTTGTTTTCTGTTTAAATAATATATTTGTTCATTAATTCAATGCTGTTTATTTAGATTCATTGAATAACCTGAACATGCAACTGGTATCTTTCCTTATTTGACTGCTTGTTGGACAATAAACGATCTGGTTATAGTTGCTATTTACCCATTAAGTATTCACAACTTATTACTACAGATACAAACCAAATGAAGAGACATTACTTCAGATAGATCGTTTTTGTTCAACCATAATTGCTGAATGTGATATTAACCCAACTCAGCCGTGGTCACGAGCTTTGAATAGACAATCTGGGGCATCAACCACATCCACAAATACATCACCTTTGCCTGTATCTACCTTTGCTTCTGAGTCACTTGTAAAGTCATTAAGTTATGTGCGTTCCCTGGTGGCTCAACACATTCCTAAACGGCTTTTTCAACCAGCTTCATTTGCTGGGCCACCTTCATCCGGACAGTCATTACCAACATTGTCATCTTTGCTGAGTAAATCCTTCAATTCCCAACTAAGTCCTGCAAATATTCCAGAAACACAAAGTTCTGCAAGTGTTCCAGAAACATTAGAGAAGGATTCAATTGCTCTTTCAAGGTTATCGAAAATTGAAAAAGCTGATGAAAAGGATGAACTGGGGTTCATTGCTCATGATGTTCTAAAATGGCGCTGGCTTGAGGAACCACAATCATCATCAATAGGGACTGAAAAGTAATAATCTCTATGCTTCATATTGGTTTTTGTTTCTTGGTAGTGGCCACTGGAGCTTATATCTCTACTTTACCTGTTAGTTTTCTTCCATCTTATTGTGCTTCAGAATTTGACTTTGTTATTTAACATGTTTTAATGCAGTGATCGTGCTGTGAATAATCAAGACATGACAGCACATAGTTTCTTAGAAATAGGTGCAGCAGCTCTACTTGTAGCAGATATTGAATCTAGATGAAGGGGCAACCATGGAAATTTTTTGGAACTGATGATATGCCTTACCTAGATCAGCTATTGCAGTCTTCCCCTGTAACACCAATTACTGATTCCGACTCTGCTCGTCCTCATATGAGAGCAATAACAGCATCTAAACGCACCAAGCCAGGCTCTCATCAAATATGGCATGTTCTTTTATCGACTTGCATTGATATTTTTCTATTTCTATTTTTTGTTTAAATTTTTTATCAAAGTTGATGACAGGATAAAAAATCTTACAGAAATTGTTGTGTTGAGCCAAATATTATATAAAAAGTTGAGCTATCACCTTCAATATAGTTTGGAGTTATTGTGCATAAAATTTTAGATTAGCCTGCAAAACACAAATGCATTAATATAAGAATCATAATTATACATTTCTGTTGTAGGCTTCTATGAAAATAAATCTTAATATAAGAATTATAATTATGCATTTCTGTTCATGAATGGAAATTTCTTATTGATTACTTGATCGGTTGGGGGGGGGGGGTGATGAATTGATTTTATAAATTCAGGTTTTCTCTTTGTAATCTTTTCTGTACTCATTCTGTTTCATGTAATCTTGTTCTTTTGCCCTGCATAGTGTCTTTTTATTCTTAAAAGAAATTGAAATTGTAATCTTTATGCAGTACTTTGGGGTTCTGTTTGGTTTGTTAACCACTCATTTCCATAAAGATTGTAATGTTCCACGAATTATCATGCTGTTTATATGGGCAAAATTACGTGATAAATATTTGAATTGGTTGCCAACAGTTTGATACTTTCTCTCTCTGGGGATAAATGTTTAGGGCAAAACTTAGGTATAGTTCTTTAGGTGTGGTTGATATTATTCTTAAATCAAAATTAAAGTTTTAATACTCTTTTTACCCACAAAATGTGTAAGGTTCTGTTTATTTTTCACTACTTTGGCATGCTGAGTGCTTTTCATGATTTGGTTTGCTGTTCTGAACATTTCCATTTCTACAGGGAGGATTTTCCTGTGATTACATTCCGTCCCAGAGCTAGACAGCTTTTCCAGTATCGTCATTACAGGTTTAGATATGTTGACTCTGGAGAATCTTCAGAGGAATTATATAACAAATGTTTGCAGCTGTTTTTAATACAATACATATGAAAATGCATGCCATAATACAAGTTTTGACTGGAGTCTTGCATCGCTAGTCAAATATTGCTGTCATTGCTTCCAATTCGTATTCAGAGTTTTTTTATCATTCAGCTTTAGTAATTTGCAATCTGAAATGCATTCATTTAACAGTGGGCATTTCTTTCAAAGTAATAATTAATTAATCCTAAAGCTTAAGTGATATCCAAGATTTACATTTATTTCTTGTGCTCTGCTAGTTTTTCAGCCCTTGGCCTTGTTGTTAAACTTTTAGTTTCTTACTGTCTTTATGCACTCTTTGTTAGGACAGAAACCGAATTGAAAGATGTTACATAAATTGGGGTGGGTTGGGGGAGGGGGGGGGGTAGGATAAAGATGGAAGGAGGGCTTCTGAGAATTAGAAAGTTTGTACTTTGTAGAATTCACTCCTGTTATCAGCCATTCAACAAATTCTTTCCTTGGTTCGTGGCAAATGGACCATTCTACAAAATCACAATTAGATCAGATGGAATCATGGGTTGAAGCATTGGAGCTTCTGGGGAGTTTTTAAAGAAAGTGACCAGCAACCATGATACCTAGCTTGCCGAAAACAAAAAGTACATGAATGGGTTTGATAATATAACCGTGTTAAATCCTGGATAGCTGCATCTAGCAGGATATCCACTATTAGGATTTTCTTTCTATTTTTAATAGTTGTGTGGAGAGAAGAGAAAAGACAGACAAGAGAGGCACTATAGCATTTTTGTTGTTTCTAGAGAGAAGAGACAAGACAACAGAAGAGCAGCACTCACCAGAGACATCTGGCACAGTCAGTAACAACATTTGAGAAGAGGCAGGCGAAACGAGGAGAGGCAATGTGAAGAGATGCAAGAGAAACGAGGGCTGGGTTGACATATTATGTGCCAAATGTTTTTTGGCCAATGAAATCCCTAAAATAGCCCCCTGAAAAAGCCCCAACTCTCTGTTTAGGGGCATTTTTTTGGAATTGTCCCATAGCGTAGCTATCCTGTCTGCAACAGCAGCAATTGTTTCTGCAACTACTGCTACTCATAACTGCTCTGCTATGGAAGCCTCTATAACAGCTCATGGCCACTCTGCCACTATAGCAGCATATAACGTGTTAAAACCCTGGATGATATCAAACAACTTTTGGAGGAAGACAACACAAATGAGCAAAGTTATGGAGCAACTGGGTAAGTCAATAGCCAACCCATCAACACCCAAGGAAGTTGGGCCTTCAATTAATTGAAAAGGCCAATCAGATATAAAGACTTCATGTGATTGAGCAATTAAACCCAGTGCCTGCATTTAGAATAAAAATAATAGTTGTCAGTAGTTAAATTTTAAATATGTATGCATTAAGTAGATGATGACAGATGTAATGTAATCCTTAACAGCAGGAAATTGGTTATTACTCTGGATTTATTCCTCGCATGTATAATGAATGAAATTAAGCAGAAAATTTCCAACAAAAGTTCTCCTTTCTTCCTTTACAGCTTTCTCACTTCACATTGAGAATTGAATCCCTAATTCCGCTTTCTCTATCACAACCTGTTTGAGTGGAGGTTTAGTCCCCATTTGTCAAGGTGTCTAGAGGAAAATGGTTAAGGGAGTGGGTTAGAGTGTGGTGGTCCAGAGGTTCTATCCTGGGCGAGAAATATGGAGTTAGTCCACACTTGATGGTTGTGATCCTTTTGTGTAGATTGCACAGGTGGAATCTATTTTTGAAGTGAAGCAAATTAAGCCCTCAAAGAAGGTTCAGTTGGCATTCATTAGTATGGAGGCTGGAGGGTAATGTAGTTCACTGGTTTAGATTCTTACACAAGAACGCTTCCAATATCAATTGCGAGGGTTTGTGTCAGCTTTGATTCAGTGTTTTGATTGAGGCAAATGGGGGAATTTAGAGGTTGACTTGGTTGGGGAGATTGTCAAACAAGTGGAGAAGCAATGTGGGGAGGTGACCAGCAGCAATTCTCATGCAATGCAAGTCTAATCTCATTTATTCCTGGAGCACAAGGTTGTTAGGACAGAAGGGGAGGGAAAAACTGTTTGGGACTTTTAGAGCTGTTATATAGGGACAACAAGGGCAGTTAGTTAGTTGGAGGGGATCAGTTAGATAAACTTTTGAGGGGTGGGGGGAAAAGGATTGAAGGAGGCATTCCTAAAATAAAATTTGACTGAAAGGGTAAACCCTTAATGGAGAATTCTTTCACTTATTTCAATTCTTCTATAAAATTGTTTGTTTCTATCAAATTTTCATTTTTCTTTCCTGGATTCCTAACATACTGCATGTGTATTCAGTGAAGAATTACATGTTTTTTTTTTATCATACTCTAGTTGTTAATAGTTGATTTATTTGTGTTTCTACATCTCACAAAATGTTCTCTTATGCTGACTAGTGAGCAACAACCTCTGCGATTGAACCCTGCTGAGGTACAAGATGTTATTGCTGCAGTTTGCTCAGAGGCTTCTTCCCCTAACACCAATGTTATTGCAGCATCAACTAGACTAAATAATAACAGTAGAAAACCATCAACGGATGTGGCTGTGAGCGTCCTAATTAAACTAGTTATTGACATGTATGTTTCAATTAATTGTTGTCTTTTATGTTTTATACTTTTGCTGGTTACTATCTGTTTAGGCCTGGATAATTTCTTTTCTCCTTGTGAGTAGCATGATTTCACAAATTCCAAAGTATGATGAGTCGAATTAAATATCAAAGTAAAGTAAAGAGGGGGGATTGATATTGAAAAATTGAAGAAAAATGTTATGGGATTATTCCTAATTTTGACAGAAACAATGGAGTTTAAAATTTCAAATTAGATTTTTTTTTTTGAAGTTGGCCCCCCTTTCCCAAGTAAAAATACATTCCAAAATCAACCAGAAATTCTTGCAATTTGACACCAATTTCCATGCTTAGAAGCTGTTATAACTATGTGCATAAACAGAGGCAGAATAAGATAGACAGTTTAACATGGTTTGACCTACCATGAACTGTAGGTTCATGCACAAAAGCCTTGTAACAGATAAAATTCTCTCTGATATGCAAAGATTACAAGGAGTAGCCATTCAATACCCATGCTCCTAACATTGGAAATCCTCTACAAATCTTTTTGAAAATTTGTTAATTATCAATGAGGAGACTGGTGTGTAGCCTTCCCAATTGAAGGAACTATTGTTTTGTTACAAGGTTTTATGGAAAGGAGGGGGGGTTTTATAGGTGTACAAATGTATAACTTTTTTGACTGGTATTTTGGTATTGTCCATTTAATTGTAGTTTTGGTTACTGGTTAACTTATTACCAATATATTATTACATGAAACCATTGTTGAGAACTTAAGATATGTCTGTTGTATTTCAAAACTTTTAGGATTAAGCTTTCTCAATGTCAGGGGTATGAATATCATGTTGAGTGCCAGATTCCTTAATCACAGATTGATTTTCTGGCCAACTTATTGATTAAATTTGTATGTTGTTTCACATTTCTATATTTTTATGCTGTTTTGTGAGTCAATTATGTATGATGATCTTAAAATATTATTTTGTAGGTATGTTTCAGATTCTCGGACAGCTGCTCCTCTCATTCTTTCTATGCTTGAGGTGATGCATTAGTAAAGTACTTTATCTCTCTCATGCCATCTGTACTTTTTTGGGTACTAATTTTTTCCAAATGCATCTTTCAGGAGATGCTTAGTTCTCCTAAAACAGCATGCAGGGTTCGTGCTTTTGATTTAATTCTAAACCTTGGGGTTCATGCACATCTCCTAGAACCGATAATTGCTGATGATGCTTCCACTATTGAAGAAGAATATTCTCAAGAATCCTATTATGACAATGATTCTCAAGTTATGATGCAAGGAAGCAGAAAAGGAAGTTCTCAGAACAAATCAGACTTAGGCTCTGCAATTGATAATTTTGAGTCTTGGATTTTAAATATTCTGTATGAGATATTACTTCTTCTTGTTCAGGTATCATTGAGCCAAAAATGTAATTGTTGAGCTAGATTGTTGCTTGTGTTTCTTAATATTTTTTCTTGTCTAGGATCATCTGATAGACAGGTCATAATATTTTATTTTCTACACCTCACAATATATTAATTTCTTTTATGCATGATATGGTGTAGATGAGTTGCCATTGGAGAACTAAAATGAGGAAGGGGCATTTTTAAATGGCTTGAAAATATAAGAATACAAGACTGCATTGTTTTTTACAGCTTTTAGATTAGGAATTTGCTGCTTAATTTTAGTTTTAAGAGTTAGATAGCAATGCTAGATGAATTTGTAGTGTGATATTTTAGCATGTGCTTGGGAGTATGTTGAGCAAGGATCGAACTATCAGGTGCTGTTTTATAAAATATTTTGCATGACAAGAAATAAGTGTAAAATTTCTGCTAGATGATTTGTCCATCTGGACAATTAAATTCTTCTTCTGAATTCAATTATCATATCATAATACATTCAAACGTATTGAGTTTTAGAATATCATACCTACATGCATGCACACTTATCAATGAAATGTTTTTGTTCAATATTTCAAAGAAGTATATGCCAAAGCTTACATGTTTTTGCAATCTAGTGTGTTATAATATAAATATGGATATTGATCCTCACATTTAAGATCCCCGACTGTTAAATTGATGGGATCACGGTAGAAGCTAAAATTAGAGGATAAAAATTCTCTAAATATACATGAACTATTGATTCATACTTCCACCTTGGACATTTTTTTAAATAAATCCTCTTTAGTTATACTAAGCAGTAGTTATCACCTGAAGATGTTCTTATAATCTCTTGTTTTTAACTATACATAACTTGCAGTGTAGTACAGTACTGTAATTTGTTTTAAATTTGTAGAGTATGATGGAAGCTAAATCTTTGGAATATGGAATGAAGTTGGAGAGTAATTGTTGTAGTCATAGTTGCTTTACCTTAATGCTTGATAAACTTATAAGATGGTGGAATCAACTGTTGAAATAATTACTTTTTTTTCTAATAAGCCAAAAACTTTTTTGAAGTAGTACTGATGTGTCTGACTGGGTTTGCATTAGTTCCAATCACATATTTTGTACTTTATTTCTAAATCTCAGAGATTCACTCTGCTTAGGTGGATAAAGAGAAAGCTTTTATCATTTATTTCATATGAATGTTCTTAAGACAGTTATGTTATCTGTCTGTCTACTTTTTCAAATGTAACGGTTTTATAATGCTGTTTTCATAACTTAACAGTTATGCTGATCAATTGCTTTATACAGTCTGAAGAAAAAGATGAATCTGTTTGGGCATCTGCTCTCAGCTGTTTGCTGTATTTTGTCTGTGATAGAGGAAAGATCTGGAGAAACCGCTTGCAAGGTCTTGACATAAGGGTGAGAAATAATACCCTGCTCTCCTGTTTGACTCTAGCAGTATTTATGGAAATTCCATTTTTTATGCATACATTATTTTGCTGGGTAAATTTTTTGCTTCTTTTTTGGGAGATTGGACGGGGAGTCAGGGGAGAGAATGCTGGCCAATTAATGAATTTTGGAGTTAAATATTTTTTAAAACCAAGGACATGCAGCTGCTTTGAAACTGAAAACTGGAACAAGTTTAAGAGGTTTTTGTAAACAGTTTTCACGGGGGCTATATTGCACATAGAGCATTTCAATAATGCTATTCTCATGATAAATGGCAACTTTTAACCCTAAGCCTCTTCTTTTCCATCTTCCGCTTTTACTTTCATATTCTCATGCCACCGTGTTTCTTTCATTCCAAACAATTGATTGGTGCTAGTTCTCTCATAGCTGCTATTCTGAAATCTGCATCTTCATTGTTTCACTTTGATTTTCTGTTTCCCTATCATTCACTTTCTCTTTAAACTCCAAATTTTCTCTCTCTATCTCTCTCTATTTGATTTATTTTTCAACCTTTTCCTTTCTATCACTTTCTTTTTCCTCTTAGAAAACTTATTTTGGAGTTAACTCTGGTGTTCCAGTACATCTGGTATTTCTCTCAATTATTGTCATCACCAAAACCAATCTTTGGTATCTCGGTATTAGTCACACAATCACCTCCTTGCTTAAACAGTTGCTGTTTTTGGCTAAATAATTATATCAACTCATCTAGTTTTTGGCTATTTCCATTACCGTTGTTATTTTTTGGAATTTTTGTGAGGAACTAAAATAAACAAAAGGTTGTAGTACCTGTGTTTTCAGTATTGTGTTTTGATTATCCATAAATACAGTTTGTTCCCGTTTAAGGGTCTTAAGAATACATGTAACTTTAAGGATCTCATTCATGAAATAATTCTTACTGCTGTAGTTTGTAAATCCTGTCTCTTTTTATCTCAAGTCTCTAATACATAACCATTCATTCACTGCTTTGTTATCAATTGTTAATGACTTAATGTTCTATATGTTATTAATTATGATATAACTGTCTAATTTAGTTACTCCCAATTTTCCTATAGGTTCTGAAGGAACTTGTAAGAATCAGTAGGGCGAATTCTTGGGCAGAATTAGTTCATTGTAAGCTTATTTCCATGTTAACCAACATGTTTTATGAAGTTCCTGATGAAGTTGCTGAGTCTGTACTCAGCAAACCAAAGTTTCTTGTGGATCAACTTGACCTGATCGGAGGAGTCCAATTTATATTTATTGAGGTGTGCATATCTTTTAACCTCAATCTCGATATACCTCAAATAGATTTTATTGTCACTAAAATATTTTTGCCCTTTTAATAGTGAATACGAACAGGCTACATATAGTTATTGTATGCATGCTGCATAAAATAATAATCCCAAGATATTTCCTCATCACTTGACCTCTTAACTAATATGGTAGATTGCATAGTGGCCCACCACAGATTATATATTTGGCTTTTTTATGATTGTAAAAAAGTATTGGGGAATTATACTTAAAATGTTTGGTAAAAAATTAAGGTAAAGAGTATATGATACATCTGGATGTTGGAATTTTTAAATATAACCTTAATAGGGATGAGGATGGTTGAGATGATGGCTTAATGGCAAAGAAAAGATATGTGATTGTGAAATACAGAAGATGCAAGGTAATCATCACTCTATCAAAGTTATTGCTTAAGAAGTCTGATTTCGAGTACAACAAACTTTTCATGTTTTCCTTACTAGACTGTACTTAATTAGGAAATCATAAAGTCGTGGAAACCAGCCTCAAATAAGGCCTGAAGCTTCTGCTTTTTTCATTTGGTTAAATGGTGACTTGGCAGCTCAAAATTTCTGAGACCAACTTAAAAAGTAAAGAAAATATAATGCTATGCTTACTAGAGGTTATAAATCATAATTGACCTACTCAATTAGTCAATTTTCAGGGTGACCAATACACAAAATCAACTATTTTCCATGTGAAAACAGGTCTTTCCTGCATCAAAACTAGAAGATAAATGATTTGTCTAGGATCTGGACCTGATGGTTACACATCCTCTGGAGGTTGTGGACTTGAGACTAATGAATGTATAGGACTGGATATATTTAGACCTTGTTGTGTTTCATAATTTGGAGATATTAAATCTTTTTTTTATCAATTTGTCATTAGTATTATGATTACTTGATTCTAATGGAATAAGACTATTTTTATTCTTGTGAGTTGTGATTGTTTGATGTGTCCAATATAGATTTACAATTTCTTTTAACTGATAATTTTCCAGCTTTTTGATTTTTCATAGCATAAAACGCTGATAAAGCCCTAAACCGAGGTCCTTCATACTGTGTGAGTTTCAAGTTTTATGATTTCCCCCTGCTTTTTGCTTTGTTGGATGCAGTATTCCCTTGCAAGCTCAAGAGAAGAGAGGAAAAATCTGTATTCTGTGCTTTTTGATTACATTCTGCATCAAATAAACGAAACATGCATAGCTACTGGAGTCAATGAATACAGTGATGATGAGATCCAACCTCTTGCTGCTCTGCTTGCTCAAACAAATGCACCTGAGGCGTTTTATATTTCTGTTAAACTTGGGGTAGAAGGCATTGGGGAGATTCTGAGAAGATCAATTGCATCAGCACTGTCCGGATATCCCAACAGTGAAAGACTAAATATGGTACTTCCATGTTTTTCTTTTCTCGTCTATTGTCTTAATAGTTTAAGGGCTATACGTTTTTGTCCTTGAGCATCTCTCTCTTTATCCTTTTTCTCCCCCTCTCCTTTGTTTGATGCTTTTAATGTGGGTTGGTGGATATAGCATGTCCAAATGCTTTTTTAAGTGTGAGTAACATTTAACCATTTGGAATCTAGGGAAAGCATCTTTGTCTAGCACTTCTCACGGCTTGGTATATAGCCTTGTGTAATACCTCAGCAAACAGAAAAAATCTCTGCTACTAAAAAAACACGTAAGATTATGAAATCATCGTTGGTAAAAAGTAAATGTGAAGTAAAATTATAATTATATCTACCATTTTACACGTAAAGTTATACTTCAGATGGCATAATCCATATTTTTGAAGTTGCATTAATCGCACTTATTATATTCATGATTTATGATGCAACAATTAAACTTCTTTTAGTAGTAATGTTATCCACCTTATTACTGATAAGGATTTCTCTTCCATAAGAATCTGTTTTTGATTCACAAAATTGATGTTTTTCTAGTTCACAAAATGTCATACATATCTAAATTAAATTTTCTTATTTGAGGGGTTTTTTTGGTAGCCAGAATTACAAGATGTATTTGTTGTATCCATTTAAGATACTCTGTCCTATTCTGTTCTGCTCATTGCAATATTAATTGGTTGCAAGTGTAAATATCTTATTAAAAGGAAGATTGAGTCCGGGCAATGAATTGCTTTCACTGAGCTACATCTGCCTTTACCTTACAGTTTTCTCCAATTCTCTACATAATATCAGGATGAATGCTTCACATGTTTAGTTCAAATATAGGTTTGTTTTACATTCATTTTATTCCTTAATTAAAGATTAGGAAGTTGTTATCCATTTGGATTTATTTTCACATATATTCGGCTTAATAGAAGTCTTATTTAATTTCTATATATTCATTTTGTATCTTGTTGGTTTCTTTTAAATCTTTGCAGCTACTGGAAATTGTAGCAGAGAAATTTGATGCTGTAATAAGTACGTTCACTCATTTGGACCAAGAGTTCACTCATATGAATCAGATAACCAAATCTCTCAAGTTTCTGGAAAATATTGAAAGTGTGGTTCTGAGAAATGGCATCGGTTTGCAGGCAAAGCACTCATGGGCCACTTTACATTCTCTTCTTCATTCTGAAAGAATTTCTTACCGTCAAAATGGGTATATCTGGTTAGGTGATCTGCTTATTGCTGAAATTAATGGAGAAAGAGATGGGAATATATGGTTGAATATCAAAGACTTCCAGCAGAAAATTGCTCAAGCTGGAACTCAAGACTCTTTAAATACATCAGATGTTCCTTTGCCCATTTTACTTATGTGTGGCCTTCTAAAGTCGAAATACAACTACATTAGATGGGGATTTTTGTTTGTTCTTGAAAGACTTCTCATGAGATGCAAATTTTTGTTAGATGAGCATGAAATGCAACAATCAAGCAGCACAGATCTGGGTCATGGGAAGAAAGATTGGCATCTTGAGAAAGCCAATGCAGTGGTTGACATAATGAGTGGAGCTTTGTCTTTGGTATTTCAGATAAATGAAACAGATCGCATCAATATTCTGAAAGTAATTGTTTCTGAACTCAAAATACTTTTTTGATAATATGCTCCTGTCATAAAATAAAATGTGTAATTGTTTCATTTGCCAATTGTATTTTGTTTGAGGAATTGCTAAGGAACTTCCTTTGTTTATGAGTAACCTGCTGATAGAGCATGGTTTTTGTGATATGATCTTAAATGGGTTTATTTCCAAGTAGATTGAAGCTGGAAATTTTGTTCATATTGTTACAGATTTTTTTTTTAATATGATATATTTTATATGAAATTTGTTTATATGATTCCTTGGAACAATGTTTGCAGAATTTCTATTTGATTTAATGTTTTCTCAAGTGGAGAAGCATTTTATAATAAATTAAATTCTACAATCACAGACAATTTTGCAGCTAAAATTCTTGTTAATATTGTTTCAGATTTCTTTTCTTAATATGATATATTTTATATGAAATTTGTTTATATGATTCCTTGGAACAATGTTAGGAGAACTTCTATTGGACTTAATGTTTGTGGCTTCTACTCAAGTATTGTTTGACTTATCGTTCATAACCTGATTTGCTCAACACTTTTCTCTGTTTCTAAACAGATGTGTGACATACTATTCTCTCAATTGTGCCTAAGAGTTCCTCCTCCTGCAGCTCTTCCCTTTGGAGATGATGTGCAACATGGCAGAAATTTAAATCACACTAGTGTAAGCAAAAGGTTTGACAGTGACAATCATTTTGTCAAACAAGATAGTTTTCACTGGGATGATCACAAGGGAGAAGCTCATAGAAGATCTGGCTACCATAATAACTACCACCTGGATCACGAGTCAGCATCAATGGCAGCACTTTTCCAAGGACGAGCCATTGTTCCAATGCAATTAATTGCACGTGTTCCTGCTGCCTTACTATATTGGCCACTGATTCAATTGGCTGGAGCAGCAACAGATGATATTGCATTGGGTGTTGCTGTTGGAAGTAAAGGAAGAGGAAACCTGCCTGGTGCTACATCTGATATTCGGGCCACACTTCTTCTACTACTTATTGGTAAATGCACAGCAGATTCTGTTGCTTTCCAGGAGGTTGGTCAGGAACAATTTTTTAGGTGATTCTAAACTTCTTTGCTCTTTCTGAATTACTTGGCTTTTTTACTTCATCACCATTAAACATCAACTTATGAAGCATGGATGTTCTTGCATCTCACAGGGAACTTTTGGATGACACAGATTCAAGAGTGGCATATTATTCTTCTGCTTTTCTTCTCAAGGCATGGATTTTAATTGATTTTTGGTGTTTAAAATGTGTTAGATTCACATATATAATCTTTCGTAATAATTTCTCATTGTGCAGCGAATGATGACTGAGAAGCCAGAAAAATATCAACACATGCTTCAGAATCTTCTTGTTAAGGCTCAACAGGTGCCTTCATATTTTAATTAAGTGCTTGATATCCATAAACTATTAGTAAAGTTGAGATTACATATTAATTGTGTGTTTGAATGAGCTTCATATTCAAATTCTGTTTATATAATTCTCTTGATTATCATTGATAAAAAAAAAACAATAATGATAACAATTTGGCTTTTGGAGACTGTCCTATTATTGCAGTGGAAAATTAGGATAAAATGACAGGATTTTGAGATCATGCTTGCAAGTAATGGATTGTATTAGAACTATGAAGCCCGGATACTTAGTACGACACGGGTATGGAGATACGACAATTTTTTGAAATTTAGGATACGAAACGTCAAGGATACATTACGAAAAAAATTATAGGAAAATTTATGTAGGTGTAAAATATTGGTAAAGAAATGCACACTGTTATTTCTCATTAGTACAAAATTAATTTTAGTTCATACCATAAAAAAAAAATATATAGAATACAGTTTCTGCTCATACCATAACCAATTGTAGTTCAATATATCAATAAAAGTATCTTTGGTAGAGCTTAAAACAAATATGAGCTCTACACAATAGCCTAGGACTCAAGCATCATTTTCTGAATTATTGTCTAATGCTATTTGTATCACTCTCCTCTCCCCTTTACCATTATTTAGAAGCATAGCTTCTAAGTCTAGTTTTTCCGGAGACAATTATGTCAATTTAAAAAGTCTAGCACTATTAGCAAGTGGATGATGTATATCTCCACTAATGTGCCGCAACCTTGCCTTTCCTTTTTATATCCTTCATCATAGACAAAAGTTGAAGGTTCAAATACACATAAACCAAATATTCTACCCATTTGGATCTATTTTGTTTTTCTTTAAAGAATGAAAAGAGGAGTGTGTACTCTAATTCCTCTCAAGCATGAGAAAGAATATGGTTTCACAAGAAGCTTAAGGTAAGCTTTTTGGATACTTCTCGAATACCTATCCAAGAAGTATCCCAGAAAAAAAAGTTAAAAAAAAATGAATGAAAAAAGATTGGATACTTTTAGGATACGTATCTAAAAGTATCTAAACATTATCGATATTTGACACAGGTATGACATCGATACTTTTCCATTTTTGAAGTATACGAGTTTCATAGTATTAGAATATTAAGGTTATTAATGTGTTATGAATCTTGTTATGTTAGTAATCATATTGGGATGGATTTGTACTAGTTGTACTTGTACCGTTGTTGTGTTGTAGAACTTGCCTTATGTAATTAGTATAAATAGTAGCATTAGGTTTAGGGTTTTGTTAATTTTAATCACTTATATCATGCATTATACTATTTAGAATGCTTCATCCCTTTTCCTCCTTTTTCATCCAACCCTATAATTTCAATAAGAAATACAATGCTGCCTTGCGAAAAAGTAGCACGCTCAATTAATCATTATGGTCTCATGAATTTCAAAAGAGAGATCGACATCTTACCTGTGCACTATACATTTTGGTAGCGGAATTCAGTTGCTATTTGCTAATGTGATCCTCTAGTAAAAAAGCAGTCAAATGTTTACTAAGTTGCCTTACTGCTAATAGAAAGACCACATCCATTTTAATGTGGTTCAGATGATATTTGTGTGTGCATATTATCATGATGTGCTACTCCTGCTGAGCTGATTAAGCCCATTAAGAGATCTTGCAAAAGTACATAACAGTTAATGAATAGTGCTTGATAAGTTTTCATGTATGAAAGTTATGCCCCTTGTCGAGAAGGTGCAACAAGAAAATATTTAGTTGTTACATGTTGCAAATTAGTTCTGACTTGAGACATCTTGTTCATCTCTATGGAGTTGTTCTATACCAAAAAAAAAGAAACAAATCTCCAGGGACTTTAGGATATTCATTTTATTTTATTCTTCAAATATAAGTAATTTTCTTTCTTTAAAATTTCTAGAGGTTTTCTTTATATTTTCTGTTACTTATATGATTATGATTGTATTTGCAATGTAGAGTAACAATGAAAAACTGTTAGAGAATCCATATCTTCAAATGTGTGGCATACTTCAACTGGCAAATGATCTTGGGATTGACCTGTGATCTCCAAGGCATGACCTTCTGGGAGGCTATATTATATGTGGTAGGACATCTGCATTGGTTTGAGGAATTGTCACTATTGATTCTGAGGAAAAATTTTCCATAATTCAATTGACTCAGATTGAAACACATAACCAGGACATACTTTAGTTCGTATGTTTCATTCCTGCAACAAAATTGCAATTGATTATCAACATGGCAGAGTACAAGTGTGGCGAGAGAGAGCCAGTGGAATTGGATGAACTCTTAATATTAATTGATTACTATGAGAAGTAATTATCAGAATTAGAAAACATACTGCATACCCTCAATTGCTGTTGATATCACTCGTTTGGAGAACCATGTAAGTAAACTTGTAGCTGCCATCGTGCCTTTATCTTCTGCACATATTTCAACTACTGGGGGAAGACAGATTTCTGTTAAGGGATAATTTAGAATGTTCCTGATTTTGACTCAACTGCTGAATGTTGCTGATCTTGACCAGCCACCAGGTAGGCACTCTCTCCTTTCTCTTGCTTTATTGGTGGGGAGATTGACGCCTACTTAGTCTTGAGTCGATATAATTAGTGCTGGCCTAAGTAGGTGTGAAAGTTTGTACCCATTTTTGTGACGTTTTGACTTGATTGTTTGGTGTGCATGCAGTTGCTGGGGGCTTGCACTACATATGATTGTTTCTCTTGTACAGGACTTAGATTCCCACCGAGCCTTCTTCAGTTTTTTTTTTTCATTCATGAAGGCTGCCTATATGCTTGCTTTTTTTTACTTGGCATACAGGACCTTTCATGGGAAAAGGAAGAACTCAATTTTGTGCGTTGTCAATACAGTCACAGGTTCAACAAAATCCTTTGATAGGGGCATCATGGGATGTCTACTTTTAGAGGCATCCAAGTTGCTCTCATTTTCTGTAAATATTTATTGCGAAAACTGTAACATGAGTTGAGAAATTAATTTGTACTAATGTAGATGATCTATACAGCATACAGGGTTTGTGATCTAAAAGCCCCTCATAATCCTTCATGATTTCACACATTTTTTTAAAAAATATATGTGCAATTAACATGAAGTTTTGGCAATGTAACGTGTACCAACAAGTGATGATTCCAGTAGTACTGAATTTGGTCTTAAGTATTACTTGGACTTCTTGAGCAAGATATTGAATTTGAATCTTATGTATGAAAAAAAAAATGTTATTAAGAGGGGAGATTTTGCTAAAAATGGTTGGTCTGTGTCAAAGATTAATCATCAATAAAATAAATAGATATTTTATATCAATAATATAGTTATTAAACAAAACTTAATAAAGGAAAAATGTAACAAATGTGTGTAATATCTTAATAATCATAATAGTAGTTTTAGAGACAATATATAACACAAAAAAGCTTGATTATATTAATATATTGAACTGGTTGTTATAAATTAGATGTTTTAGGATTCATATAATCTTATTTACACGTTAATATTTTGATCCGTAATAAGTGACAGGTTTGCTTTGTACTATTAAAAGAAACTGTTATCTACAGAATTAACTTTTTCATTTAATTTTAATTTCTATAAAATCATTTTACTTTTTACCACTTAGCTTTATTAATTCTTTTTCTGCTGCCCCATAAGATCCCAACCACTCCAATGGTTCATTTAAAAATAAAATGGAAATCATGTAGTATGGCAACATTTTAAAAAAATATTATTAGGAGTATAAATAAAAAATAAAAATAATAATACATTGAATTGTTTTGAAACTCATTTTTCATTTTAAGCGACACTTATTATTATAGATTGAAAGAAAAAATAATGATGATGTAATCACAAATTTAACCATTTGATTAAGCCATGATTAGAAAATATTGTTGGTTCAATCTTGTACAATTTGTGTTCGAAATCTGATTATTTTTTTATTTTTGAGAGATTGCACATTTAAAAAAAAAATAACAATGAAATTGAGTACGTGGGTTCATTCGGTTCGATTCAACAGGATGAATTCAAAAAATAAATGGTTCGGATTATTTTGAATAGATACAACTATAGGTGACCAGTGACCAAACTGAACAAAAAAAGATAAATTTTCATTTGTTTGAATTCTATTTTCATTCAGAACCAATCCAAGCTGACCCATAACTAAAATGTACAAATAGCAAAATAGAAGACTAATATATATACAGTGTAGGTAAAACTTGGCAACAAAAATTAGAAATCCGAACCCCAGACATTGCCATTATGTTATATCCAACGTTTTTCTGAACTATTTACTCAAATGAGTTATTATAGCATCAGTCATGATCTCACTCACTTTCCATTTTCTTTTTTATCTGCTTAGCCTCGGAATGATATTTCTCCAATTCATCATCAAGATCTTTAACAGACACCTTCCCAATATTTCTCTTTACTTTTGTGTAGCCTCTCGGAAGGCGATGAGACTTCTCCAATGCATGATCAAAACCTCTAAAAGATAACTCTCGAATATGGTCCTTCTCTTCTCCACGCCCCCTTGGAAGGGCCCCCCGTGAAAAACCATTGTGGAACATGCTACCTCCAACCCTTCCTTGTTTGCTGAAAAAGAAAGTACAGAAGTTGCAATGATTATTAACAGAGAAGATACTCAAAAATAAGGACACGGAAGATGAAACCTGACCATGAATAAGGCAAGTGGCTCCACACTACATATTCTTAGACTTAGAACCGAAAACTATTTAAATTTCTAAATTTTACTCATAATAATAAATGAATATATACGTAACTTGTGATTTCATGTAACACGTTATCAACTGCAAAGTTCAAATGAGTATTTCAAAGGATTATTAAGGATACTATGCATTCCCAACTCAGACTAGATATATGAATAAATATATTGAACTGAGAAGCTCAAAAGACCAGGAATCCGAATTTCATACCTTACAAGAACATCATTTGGTCTTCCGAGGAAGCTATTTTGATATGATGGTGCAACCGCAGGAGTAACTGAACTTGTTCCAACAAGCTCAATTTGCAATGGTTTTCCATCAAGCCTCATATTGTTGTATTTCTTGATGGCTGCTAAAGCATCAGAATACCTCACGAACACAACTTCTGCTGTTCCCTTTGATCTCCCACTCTCGTCATAATGAATGGTGTATCTTTTCAATTCACCCTCTTCCGAGAACAGCAGCTGTAAAATTTAGGCACAGTTACATTATTATAGCATCACCAATAAGTACAACATTTGGAAAAAAAATAAAACAAATACAAAAAGCACTACTAATAAGAATCAAAACGATAAAAATAAAAAATAAAAATTTCAATCTAGTTTTAGTTATCGTATTTTTTTTTGTTTTTTTATAATCGATGAATTTCGTCTCTCTTTATGGAACTAGAGTGAGAGACAAAATTCATCAATTACAAAAAAAAAAAATACAAAGATGAAAGTCATTGTAACAAAAGAAAACGATGAAGACCAATTTTGACCAGAAATAAAGAAACCTAAAATACGTTTGACCTAAAAGAACATCTATATCACCATTATAAAAGAACATCAACTAGCATGCGCATTTAAAATTAAACAGTGAAAAAGAAGGTAAAACAGAAAGCAAGTGATAAATTATATTCTCGTGTATTATACCTTGATATCGTCGTTGGAAACTCCTCGATCCAAGTTCGACACATAGAGTTTGGTGCCGCTTTCGATCAACGCCGCGCCGTCGTCGTGGAAAGCCATTTCCGAAATCATCCTGTGTGGCCGTGCCTACGAATCAAAAAGAGTGAGTGAACGCTAACATTCTCTTTTCTTTGTCACAGTAATAAGTAAATGAGGAACGAAACCCTAACTCACCGGCGGAATGGGATACGGCGTTGTCCTGGCCGTGAATCGGCGGCGAGAAGCTGCGGCGGTGGACTGCTTGATGATGTCGTCGAGGGACATGTCGATGCTGGCGGCCATTGTCGTCGGAAAAGGAAAGAGAGTGAGAGAAATTAGGGTTTCGTCGCGAAGAGTGAGTGTGAGTGTGATACTGAGGAGTTTTGAATATGGCGCAGTGTAAGAGGGAGGAAGAAAGAGGATGGTTATGGTGTGGTGTGGTCTACTGTGTACACGTTTAATCAAGTTCCACTAGAATTTGGACGCGTGTCAGCGTGTCAAACAAGCAACCTATTCGGGCCGTTAGATCTTTAGTTTGTGATATTACTGTCACTGCTATCAACCGTTGATTGGAAAATGCAAATGATTGTGTCTATTTCTTGGGAAAGGAAGCGTAAAAGGTAGTAGTATCACCGTAAGAATTCTGTATTTTAGTTTTTCATATTTGTCAGAATTTGTTTTAGTGAAATTAAGTTTACAAATGTGGTTAAAATGTGTTTGAGATTTTTTTAAAATTATGTTTTTTCTATAAGATAAATAGTTTTATAACTTTAAAATAAATACTCACGAAAATTATCTTTATTAGTAATTATTTTTTCAAATAATAATGATTATTCGTTCTGAGAAACAAATTTACTATAGTGTGGTTTTATAAGATACCCTTTATTAAAAACATGTTTAGTATATATTTGTATATCAAAAAATTATGAATTACAATATCAAACATTATTTTCACTCTTTTAATTTCCAAAATAAAATTAAACTTTTAATAAAACATTATCTATATTCGTATGTAAAAAAAGTTGAATTCAATGTGCATTTTACAAAAAAAAAAAAAAAATCCTTTACGATCATTTCAAACTACTCTTATTTTGTATTTATAAACTTAGTATTCTTAAATGTATATTTATTTTAATTTGAATTTACTTTCTTTTATCTATATCTTTATATAAAATATTTTTGTCAGACTGTTTTATTTTTAAATAATAAAAAATAATATTAAAATTAACTATTTTTAAAATTTTGAAACATTAAAATTTAAAGATTAAATACAATATCAATTAATTCAATAGATATTAATAATTATTAAACATCAATAAATATAAAGATATGAAATGTTTTGATCCTACTAATTTTAAAGATAATATATATTGAGTTCAATTCAATTATTCGCCTAGTTTTATAATTTTTAATTTAGTCACTAGACTTAAAAGAATCCTTATGATACCTATCATTAAAAAGAAAGTTAATATAATTAATGATCAATAAAAAAAATTTATTTATCCATCAAATTCATCTACAAATAAAATTTATTTATTAATCAATAAGTTGTTAGTCTAAATGATACTAAATTTAATTTTTTTAAAGTAAAATTTTATGTTCAAATTTTATGTATGAAAAAAAATTATTAACTAATTTTCTTATAAAAATTAATCATTAATGAAATCAAGAAATAATTGATACCAATAATATGATTAAAAAAATCATCAATATAATAAAAAATAATAATAGCTAAAATTTAATTCATCAATTTAATTTTATAGATTATCAACAATCTTTTTATTATTTTTTTCAAAATTCATTAGATTGTATACCAATTATTATTTAATAAAAAATTATTAATATTCTTTATTAATATTAGAGGGGTCAAGATACTTCATTTTTCTAATAATCATATATAGATAAGTATTAAAAATTATAAAAGATATAAGAATTTTTTTACATTTAAAAATATAAAAATTTACTAAAAAGTGGAGATAATAGTAGTTACTAAAATATATTCTTTTTATAATAAGTATAAAATTTAGATTTGTGTACCTTTTTTAGTAAAAATAAAAAATAAAATCCAAGGCATTCATTCAAAAAATAAATTTCGTTTTACATGTTCATATTTGATACACAAACTAATTTTTCCAAATTTATAATTTTAAAACCGAGCCCATTATCCAAACCAATTCAATTTTATTTTTCTTTAAATTTTTCTGTTTGGATTGATTGTTGACTCATGGTTAAAATTGTAAAGCACAAAGAAAGAGAGGACATAATAGCCATTTCAGATTCTGCAAAGAAGCATACTCGCCCGCCCTGAGATAGTTCGTTTTCTCACCACCTTCTCCTCTTCTCCTTCGTCAGCGTTTTCTTCGCAACACTTTAGAGAGAGAAAGTGCGTGAGACAGAGAGAGAGAGAGAGAAACGTTCGATGGAGGACGCCGTTCACCTCCGAGCTTCCACCACGCCGGCGCCGGCGTCGGAGAATCCCAATCCCAATCGCATCCGCGACCTCCCAACCAAAACCAGAGAGGAAGGCGAACTCTCTTCCGAAGACGACCATGACGACGTACTCTTCTTCACCAAACCCTACCTCTTTTTCTTTTCATTTTTCCGATGATTATCTCATTTCCTATTTTGCTTTCGTTGACTCGTGCTTTTTCTCCCCTAACAACGCAGCACCGCTGTTTCTTCTGTTCGTTTCATAGTGAATTTTCCTCGTTTCTTGATTTTGATATCCGAATTCAGTAGTTTATCTTTACTAGCTCGTGAATTCATATAAGTTGCTGTAGATCTAAGAGTTTCCGGAGAACACTCGGTTCTGTTTGTAAACACTGCTGAGTAGGGTTTTGTGATTATATCATTGTTTTTAATTGGCCAAAGCAGTGGAATTGGCAAATGGAAGCGTACCGAAGCTTGGTAGCGCGTTATGTTTGGTTCTCGCTAATTTGCTTTCGTTTAATTGTTTCTGACTATGGTTTGTTAATGAGTAATTTGTGCTCACCAGGAAAACCTTGATAGTTCTGCTGTGCAATCCACCCCTGCTGTAGGCTCTGGTTCTGTTCCGCTGGTACAAAAGACTACTCAAGGCGTTCAGGGTGGTAAGTTTTGCTATCTGTCAATTAAAGAAAGCACTTGAGTGCTTTAGTAGCCTTGTAGACTATCTGAATTGTTCATACCAATGACTCCTACTGAGCATCATCTTGAACTCCATGGCTATCTAACTTGTCCAGGAATTGTTGGTCTGGTTTATGGAATTGGCAACATCATAACTTTTGCAAGATTTGGAATGTGTTTGTTTGATGATAAATGTATCCATTTATGTTTGTTATGTTTATATGATCTCTTGTTTTACATGTTGGATAAGACCTGCTTAATGTGTTCTTTCTTTGAAACCTATATTGGTGCCTTTTCATACATCAAGGCTATTTTCTCTTCTTTTAGTCAGAGGATGTGTCATGTTTGATCACTGTGCACAAGTGCACATCATCTTCCAACAATCATTTTACTGGCTCTTACAATATCTAGAGTGCGTTAGCCTTGTGGATTATCTGGATAATGGGGACTCAAACTCTCATACTGAGCGTCACTCTCTTTTGTCATAATCTTGAACTCTCCATTCTTGTCCAGGCTTTTTGGTCTGGTTTATGGAACTGGAAATTTCATCTTAATTGTTGTGACATTTGGACTTGTGTTTATCTTATGATATATTTATCTATGTATGTTTATATGGTCTTTGTTTTTATGTGGTGGATAAGACCTCTTTTAATGTATTTTTTTTCTGGTGGATTAGACCTCTTTTAATGTATTTTTTTCTTTGAAATCTGTCTTGGTGCTTTTTCATACATCAAGGATGTTTTCTCTTCTTTTAGTCCCTGGATGTGGCATATTTGAGTTCAATGTACACATCTTCCAAAAATCATTTTACTGGCTCTTGCAATATCCAGAGGATAATTTTTTCTGGCAATATTTTACAGGCTCCAGTAATTTACAGTTGCAAACAGCCAAACAACCAACTGCACAGAAGAACTTAAAAAAGAACCAAGTACCTCCTAAATCTTCTCCATGGACTGGTCATGTGGGCACTGATAAAAATCTCGTGATAAGCTTCTCTGATGATGACAGTGGTAGCGACATTGAAACTAAAGGTATTGCTTCTAGGTTGGATAGCAATATCAAGAGGACCAGCTCATCCTTGGAAAAATCAAATAAGTTGCAGCAAATTGCTAAAAGTTTGCCCAAGGAAGTGCCAAAGAGGTCATCCTTAAATCGCACATTTATCCCACCAGTGACCAAAATCTCTGGCTCTAATTCTAAGGGGGATGGATCCATCCCACTTGTTCATGGACCAAGAGCTCGAAATTTCAATCCGCTGAACAAAAATTTGGCAAACCGAGAGCGTGGACGTGATCAAGGAGTGGTGTCAAATGACAATAAACTCCAGGATTTGCGGCATCAGATTGCACTTCGGGAAAATGAGCTGAAGCTGAAGGCAGCCCAGCAAAATAAGGAGAGTGCTTCTGTTTTGGGTAGGGACCGTAGTGCCATGAACTCAAAGAACACAGCTAGAAAAAATAATCCAGTTTCCTCAGGACCAGCACAATTGGAGCCAAAAGAACCAGATAGGAAACGCTTGAAACTAAGCACATCTTATGGCACCTCTCAAGCTGTTGATGGTCAGCAGG